ATATATATATATATATATATATATATATATATATATATATATATATATAGAGAGAGAGAGAGAGAGAGAAACATTATTAACAAAATATGTTTGTTTTTATGTCCTATGTTTCCCCTCAAAGTTTGTCGGTCTAATTTTTGTACACCCTGTATATGTGCGTGCGTGCGTGCGTGCGTGCGTGTGTGCGTGTGTGTGTGTGTATTAATCTAATGGAGAAAAAAAGAAAATTTAGGAAGGAGCAAAACTATTAATTATGTTGAAATCATGTTAGTTACTCTTCTTGTCATTCTTTATTTATTTTTTCAAATTAATAAGTAGAGTAACATAATTTTTTGCATATAAATTCCATGATTAAGATCTTCAACTCTTTGAACTCTTAGTATCCAGCCACTCGTGGTATATTTTTTATTGATTCGATTATTTTTACGCTTATGTGCATCAGTTAATCTTGGGTATAAAAAGCAACAAATAATGTTTTTACAAATAAAATTTTGCATACTAATAAATGATAATATTTCCAAACATATTTTATTATCAATTAAAAAATTAGTAGTTTTATTGGGGATATTACATCTTTAGGTCGCAAAGATTTAACTTTTTGTATTATCAATAATAAAAACATTTTAGTAATATTTTATTTTGAAAATAAAAAGAAAATGAGACATGTAAGATAATCCCCACAATGTATTAAAAATAATATTTTATTTCTAGGTACCACCACAAATTTCAGTGACAGATGTTCTTGGAGGACAAGTGACGTTAATTAGTTGTTCACCTTCCCCATCTCCATCACCTGATTCACTCGAAGATGCATTGCCTCATTACAACACTCTTCCGAGTTTTATTATTTCAGAACCGTGTGATCCTTCGAGACCTAGTATCACACGTGGTATTGGTAGACCACTTAATACAATACCTACTGAAGTTGAAGTTACTTTGTCCGACGAATCGAGTAGATTAAATTCTGAAGCTATATTAGGACGTGTCAAACAAATAATAGATGCAAGAGCGCCACCAAAAGGTTTCATATTCTCAAGAGAAGAAGTGGAAGGCAGTGGACTTAGTTTAGAATATCCAGGTGGTGTACAAATTGAACTTAGAGTATGCGAATCGGAAGAAAGAGAAGTAAAGGGAATAAAAATGCGCAGGATTAGCGGGGACCAATTGCAATACAGTCAACTTTGTCAGCAGTTGATTTCATGTATTACTGTTTGACGACAACCAGCATATAATATAACACTATTTTATACATTACGTTTTACACACATTCCTAGTGTAACATACACCGTTCATCACAGTATTGCATATACATGCTGTATACACGCAAACGGTATTTTAAAATTACCATCCTTCATATTATCACATTCATATGTGTAACACATTTAATGTACTCTACATCTTTTTTAATATTTACTTTGAAAGAAGTAAAATAATAAGAGCCATTTCTTGTTTATAACATAAAGTTATAAGTATGAATATATTAATATATTCGTATCTTCTAAAAATATCTATTGTATACATGTTTAATAATCCTCAATAACGTCGTAGTACGTTTCATTTTCTTTGTTTTTGCTTAATGCAAATATTAAGCGCCACAAAGAAAATTTTCAATAAAAATTTGGTATTAATGTACAAGGTATTCCGCGATGAAACCGATAAATTTCACCAGCATGTTCAGGAGATAATCCTAAGAAAAATGTGAAAAAGCAGAAAAGATTATATATAAACCGTGAATCGATTTTCGGCTCCGTTATCAAGATATGGGAATTTTATTAGTAAAAGCTACAAATAGTTTGGCATATTCAAGTTCTTTGATTTAATATTTGTTTAAATGTTAGTTTTATATTAATATTACTTTCACGGATACTATTTAAAATGGCCACCTGTGACATTTATACAAGTGACTAATCATATTTTTATTGACTATACTTATTAAATATTCATAAGTTTATTACTGATGCTAACAACAGAGCTTCAATTATATACTTTGTATCAACTATCCAGAATTTGTCAGCGGTTTGAGGACAGATTGGCGACATATCGAGCAGAATCTACTGACAGATCCGTAGTCATTTGTGTCCGTAATCTGCTGTTATTCTTGACAGAGCTTGCTGATAAAATCTGACGGCAGATTGGCGGCAGAAAGCACGTAGATCTTGCTGACAGATTATGTCAGCAGGTTCTGTACGCTTTTTGCTATCAGTTTGTCAACAGGCATGCTCGCTTTTTGACGACTATTTGTCGTCAGGTTCTATTAGCAGACTCTGTAGCATTACTGACATCACTCTACAGATATCATCTGTGAAATAGATTCTAGAATAAATAACAGATCTAATCTAATAACAAATTCTAGATTCAGATTCTGTGTGCAATCTGTAGTCTTTCTGCTAATAAACGTTGCTAATATATTCTACTCAAAATCTGCTTTTGCAGGTTTGATTATCTAACCAGGGAACATTGCAAACCCGAACTCTTTGATTTTGATATCCTTTTGTGAGTATGTAGAGTAAATTAATACATGAATAACGGTATATTCCATTTGTGCCCAGTCTGTATTTAAAAGTATGATTTATACTTTCAAAATAAAAAGGACGATCCACTTTTTCGTGTATTACTCTTAAATTAAAGAAGATAGAAAAAAATGTTTTCGAATAAAAGTTTAATAATAAATTAAGTGCTGTAAATTGACATAAGCATAAATAAAGAAATATCTATAAAAAATTTTTTTATTTATGCTTATGTCAATTTACAGCACATAACTTATCATTAAACTTTTATTCGAAACATATTTTCTATCTCATTTAATTTAAGAGTAATACACGAAAAAATGAAATCATCCTTTTTACTTTGAAAGTGTAAATCATACCTTTAAATAGTGATAAGACACAAATGGAATATATTGTTATTCATATCAAGAGACACGATAGTATCTCGCGCCAAGTACACGCATAAGCAAAGCGACGCGCACGGACGGCGAGACGGGCTATATATATTTACGCGAAGCATCTCGTTGATCGGAAGTATGATTTGTCGTTTTACTATAACGGTTAAACTGATGACGTTCTGGGAGAACTTAATCGATTCCTTAGGATCAATTATATTATTATAAAACTGTTATTATAAAATTATGTTATTATAATTGTTTATTTTTGTCCTACATGCCCTACAAGCCGAACTATTTTAGCTTAAAGTTAGAAATCGGAAAAAACCATCTTAGAATTCGTCGACGCTAGGATATACGGTTGCGAATCGGAAACTAGATGGCGTCTTTGGCCTTGTGTCACGTGACCCATGATGAGCATGCTATACGACACACGTGTATATACACACACAAATATATAGAAAGCAAACGAGAGAGAAAAAGGAGAGAGAGAGAGAGAGAGAGAGAGAGAGAGAGAGAGAGAGAGAGAGAGAGAGAG